ATCTCCACACACGATAGCGGTTTTATCCTGGGAGGAGAGTGCCCACGTTTTTCCGGTACGGTAGGCGGGCACTACTACCTTAAGGACAGCTCCGGCGACTCCGCTGTCCTTCACGGTGTTTTGTTTTGCAGGTTTAGTTCATAAAGACCTCGCTGCATTCTGCCCTAGTGCATAATGTCCTCGCAGCCCAGTGCATAATGTCCTTGCTGTCCAGTGCATAATGTCCTCGATGTCCAGTGCTTAATGTCCTCATACAACAAGGCTGTTTGAAGATATATAAATCTATTTTCAATTCTGTTTATCTTGTAATATTCTGAATAAGTTATAAATTCATAATTTTATTTATTTTTATTTTCCGAGGCCGTTCATCTTCCCTGTCCGTTGTAATCCGTACAAAAATTGTAACAATCTTAAGGTAGTAGACATATCCGTGCGCAATGGCGGGTATGGACGGATTCGGTTTTGACGCTCACACCAGAAACGGGAGTAGTTCCGAGACTCTGGTTGTGAACGTTTTGGCTGGATTGGGTGGCTCTGTAGGGCAGACCACTCCGATCAACATTCCTTTCGGATCGAGTGCGGCCATGGGGTCCACTCCGATCACCACCTTCGTTGGATCGAGTGCAACTATGGGTTCCGCTCTGGTCACCTCGGTTATTGGACCAACCGCGGCTACGGCCGCAATGGTCACCCCACTCGGACCGAATATGGCTTCGGCCATACCGGTCATTCCTTCACTTGGACCGAACACGGCTGTCTTCACATCCGCACCGGTCGGACATCCTACTGTTATGCTGCCTGCGAACTCTGTCAAAGAACCGGCAAAGTTCACAGGTGTTGGTTTTAAAATATGGCAGCAAAGGATGTTATTTTGGCTGACCACCCTCAACCTTGCGAGGTACTTGAGAGAGGATCCCCCTGTTGTGGGGGAGAACGCGGACGAGCCAACAGTTTAGGCCAATGTGGTGGAGCATCCACTCAAAGAGGCTTCTTCCAAAGGGCCTACGCCAAACAAGGACAAGAAGAAAATTGGTCCTAAAGGAGGCTATTTTATCTAGCAATTATTTGTTAAATAAAATACCCTGGAAAAAAAACTCGTTAAGACTCCTTACGAGTTGTGGTGTAATAGGAAACCTTCCTATAAATACCTGAAAGTGTGGGGGTGCCTTGCAAAAGTTTTAGCACCACCACCAAAGGAAATAAAGATTGGTCCAAAGACCAATGATGGAATCTTTATTGGCTAGAGTGGTAGCGTGTATCGATTCTTAGTGTATAGGTCTGATGATTCAGAAATACATAAGAACACATGCAAAGAGTAACACGTATAATGGTAAGTCTAGACATATTCGTCATAGACACAAAACCATTAGACAACTTCTCACAACTCGGATTATTACAATTGACTATGTGAAGTCAAAAGATAATCTGGCGGATCCGCAAACCAAAGGGTTAACAATTGAGTTGCATGAGAAGTTGGTGGCAGGAATGGGTTTGAAGCCCTTGTGCTAGGATAGTCCTATGAAGGAAAACCCAACCTGGCTGGTACCCAGGTTCAATGGGACAACCTACTTGTAGAATTAAGCATGGTCACTGTGGGGGCGGTACCGGAACCTCCGGTCAGTACCTTCTGTTCCTGCTGAAGACAGTGACTCCCGAAAATGATGAGGCTAGCATATAAATATGCTTTAATGATTCTTAATCAATAGACACGGTGGTCTAAGTGGAGTAATCAGGATACTCTTAAAGAATCACCTATGTAAGAGTGAAGTGTGGTCGCTTCAAACGGAGGATCTTGGGCTTAATCCTCTAAACACTCTCGCAGAACCAGGCGCGTGTCCCACGACCAAAATGGGCACAACCATGAGAACAGAATGACGTTTGGTTGGAATTTGTGTATTGTACACTATCGTTTACACAAGCGGCAGTACAGTTCAAAGACATCGCGTTTTACTGAACAGCCAGTAAAGAAGGTATACTTTACAAGGGACATGTTCAAAAGTGGAAACACTTACATGTTCTATGCAGATTTTCAACCGTGGGATGTTGTCGACCCCAAATCAATTTTTCATTCATGTGGGGGATTGTTGGAAAATTCCTTTGTTGATTACTCTATATGAAATTTTGTGCAATAAATGCAACAATGCATCTGAAGTACCACATATGAAGTAAATTGATAAGTCGGGTTTGGATTAGTTCTTTTTATTCTTTTTTAGACATTTTTAATATTTTTAGTGTTTAATTTTTAGTTGTTTAGCTTAGTTTTATTTTAATTTTCATTTTTAAGTTCTTTTTAATTTTCTTTCTTGAATAGTAGTTTTTAATCTTTTACATTTTATTATTTTTATTTTATTTTTCCTAATCCAAATTATCAGATATCTTATTTTGTTTGGAAAAAAATGTAGCAAAGGGCTAAATTGAAGTGCAAGTTTGAAAAGAAGAGATTGATTTTGGGCCGGAGCCCAAATCCATTCCTTACTAAAATAGAATCAGCCCACCAATCCATCCTCCCACTTTAGCCGCACGCAAGAAAGTAAGAAACAAACGGCGTTTCTTCATTGCAGAGAGGAACGAGTAAAACCGGCGAAGCATTCAACGCTCCAACGTTCGGCTTAATTGCGCTACAATCAATTCTCAACGGAAAGAAACCTCCTTGCTATAAATTGAAGATGAGTTGCTGCTTAACAGGGAGGGGGAACACCGACGGGAATAAAGGCCGCTGCTATGGTGGCCGGCGTTCGGCGATGGCAGCGGCGGCAGTAGCTCCGGCGACGTCTGTGGTCGAAGGTGGGCAGTCTTCTTCAAGCTCCAATTTCTTCAATTTCATCTTCTTCTTCATCAATTGGTAACTCTATATTTGTCAAAAAAAAAATTTCTTCTCCAATTTCTTTGTAAAAGTGTTGTTTTAATTCAAATTTACACTTTTTTTCCTTCTTGTGTGAATTTCAAAAATTCAAAAATGGTTGGTGTTCTTCTATGGGTTTTGTATGTTATATTAAATCCCTTATGAATGAGAATGAATTCTTACTAGTTTCTTCAATTTTTGCGCAAATTGATGTTAAATTGGTTGAATTATAAATTTAATTTCGTAAGTAGGTTAGTATGTCGAATTCAGTTATCATTGAAGCTAATTTAGCTCCATATTTTAGTTAAATGATTCTCGAATTCATACGTGAATCTTTTTTGTGACTTGTGTTTTGTAAAATTTTAAGGTAAATGAACTTCTTAGCCACATAAGTTGAATGTTTTCCTTAAGATTCGTTATAAAGTGATTGTTTATGTCTTGGTGTTCTTGTTTGTTATTTTCAAAAAAATTGGGATTGTTTAAGCGCAATAAACGACTCTTGATTTAATGAAAATATGTAATGTTCTTTTATGTGAATAGACTAAAATTCTTATGCTTAAGTTGTTCAAGGAGACATGCAAAATATTTTCATCATTAGACGTTAAAGTTTATTAAAGTGTATCAAATGTTCTTCATGAATACTTTGTGCATGGGAGTTAGAATGAAAGAAAGATTCGCTCTTTTATAAACTTTTTCATCTTTTGGAATCATTGTTTGAGCGCTTGAGGTGAGTGGGGGTTCAAAATGATCCAAAAGGCCTTTGAATCTTTGACTCCGGGCCTTATAGAGAGTTGACGATCCTCTATATGTGGTCAAGGATATGAGTCAACTCGAGCCTTTGAATTATTTCCTATTTTTAAGTGCGTAAGTTATGTAATATATTGTCTACGTGCCTATTATACGTGTAATGTTCGTTTTGTGTTCGTTCTCTTTTTAATTTTGTTTCGGGTTCTTGGCGGTGTTTCTTGGGTTACCTTAGTTGGAAAAGTTGATTATATTTTGAGCTTGTTTTCCTCCATTTTATCCAAAAAAAACCAAAAAAATAAGAAAAATATAAAAAACCAAAAAATATTTACTTTTTATTCAACCCCCCTTTGTGTTTTAAGTTATAATATAAGTTTTTATTTACCAAATTTATTTAATAAGTGATTGTTTATAAGTTATAAATATACGTTTTTATACTTTATTTACTTTTATATACTATTTGTTTTGTTTTTATAGTTTATATTATAAGTTCGTTGTTTATATAAGTCATATTTATAAGTTCTTATGTTTATTTGAATAAGTTTTATTGTAAGTTTTATATGTCTTATCATATGTGTAGTAGTTAGTTTTTTTATTTTATTTCGTGATAACGTGTTTGCATGCTATTTTGATTTCAAAAGTACAAACTTTCTCCGTGGGATCGACCCTTACTTGCCCTAGCTATAGTTTTTATTTGATTATATTTTGGGGGTTAGTTAAAGATATTTTATAAATTTTTAATTTGTTTTAGACCGCACGACAAGTCCTCAACACAAATGAACCGAGATGTTGGGTTTGATATCCATATTTTTGCTTTAATTCCTAGACTTTCTGATTACTCCGTATTTTGATACAAGCACAAAGCAAGCTATTTAAGCAATTATGCCATGTCTTCTTTCTTTTAGCAATCCTTTTTATTTTTACCTTCAGGTCCCAAACCTTTTAGATTCATGTGTTCAACCAACACAGGAATAAGTTATGTGGTTCACTGTGTTCAACCAACACTTTGTTGTGCCTCTTTAAGAAACAACTAATGCTAATATATTTTTTAAAATTAATAAAATAGAAAAGACACTGGTTGTTAAAAAAACAACCGATGCTAATACTCTTTTTTTAAATTAATAAAATAGCAAAGGCACCGGTTGTTAAGAAATAACCGATGCTAATACTCTTTTTTCTTTAAATTAATAAAATAGCAGGAGGCCAGGAGGGTAATGGGGATGCTGCCATGCCAAAGCCAGGAGGCCAAACAACCAGCAGTGCGAAAGACTAAGAGGGGTGATGATGTTGTTCCCTTTTCCACAAAGGCAAAGGGTTAAGCTTAAGTCATTTGGGAGAGTAAAATCATGGCTAAAAACCAATCTTTGTGTAATTGGCACTCCTACCTTGAAGATTTGGTCTTTATTCTTTAATTTGAGTAATTTTAGAATATGGAGTTTCATTCTTTTTGTTTTGTTTGTTTTCTACTTTGGATTGAAGCAAGCCAATGTACTCTTAGTTTTGTTTTTAATAAATTTTGTGTAGTCTTATTTGTATCTCGCCATCTTCTTATTGTTTTTTTGGTTTTATGATGTGAGGGTGTGATGGAATAAATCAAAATGGATTTCTAAACTGTCTGCGCTTCTTTAATTAATGAAGTAGCAGTTAGTCAAGCAATGCAACTTTCGACGTTGAGTCGGGGGTCTCTTTGGAAACAGCCTCTCTACTTTCGAGTAGGGGCAAGGTCTGCGTACACACACCCTCCCCAGACCCTACTTTTGTGGGATTTAACTGGGTTGTTGTTGTTGTTTGATGTGAGATTGATTGATTGTATGGGTTCCCAATTCCCTTTGTGTGTAGCGGGACAGCACCCAACCTGTTCATGTACTTTTTTTTCGTTTCAATGGAAGTGTTTATTTTTCATGTCCATATAATTATTTGAAACAATGTTTATTTGATTGTTGTACAAATATTGTCCGAAAGTATGAAAGTAAAGTTAGAGAGCGTATCCATTTTCATTGTAAAAAAGATTACCGCTACTCTAAACCTTTAAAATAGTTCTAGGCTTAAGAGCTAGACTACTGTTTAAAACGAGTATTCTTAACTTTTAAAACTGTTTTAGGCTTAATATGCACAATTCTCTTGAAAACAGTTTTCTTTACTTATTATAGATAATCGTGAAAAAAACGGTGTGACACACACTACTAGTAATACATTACGGTTTCTCAAAACTTTAAACATAGTTCTAGGCTTAATAGTCTAACTACTGTTTAAAAAGGGTATTTTTAATTTATTATAGACAACTTGTAATAGATTATGGTTTCTATGAATTTTAAAAATACTTCTACGCTATATAAATATACTACTGTTACAAGGGAGTCTTCTATTCTTATAATAAACAACTATGCAAAACAAAACCATACGAAACATACAACTTACAATAGAATACTATTTCTTATAAGTTTAAAAACAGTTATAAACTGAAAAATCAGACCACTGTTTAGAAATAGTAGTCTTAACTAATTTTTGACAACTGTGGCAACAAAAACTGTATTTTTAGATGAAACGGACTACTAATAAAAGATTACTGTTTCTCACAACTTTAAAAACAGTTTTACCCTTAGTTCATAGACTACTATTACAAAAGAGTCTTCTATTCCCGTTAGAAACAACAGTGGCAAAAAGACCATATGAAACAGACAACTAGCGATAGATAATTGTTTCTAATAAGTTTAAAAACAGTTCTAGACTAGTACACCAGACTACTGTTTAAATATAGTATTCTTAACTTGTTATTGACAACTGTTGTAACAAAAATTGTATTTTGAACTCACACAAACAACTAGTGATAGATTACCGTTACTCGAAACTTTAAAAACAGTTTTAAAGCATAGTAGCCAGACTACTGTTCGGTAGCCAAGAAAAACTCACAGTAGTCTTTTTTTTAACTACTGTGTTTCCATAAACAGTAGTTATTCAACAGTCGTCTGATACTATTTTTGGCGCAGTGGTATGATTATATGGCTTTATTTTCGGCCAAATCCTTCTTCTATCATCTCTTGTATTTTGCTCGGTTATCCCTCTCGAGGGCATTTGTTCTTGCATGGCAGTTAGATTTAACAAGGAGCTATCAAATATATGGTTGGGAAAGCTGGTGCAAGAAATGGTTAGGATTCGTGATTTACACTAGTTGTACGCACATTACCTACATGTGAGCGTATGGAGGTGCTGTGATCATTTTAGGGAGGTTCTTTGTGCAAGGAGGGGAGTTTAAATGTTTAATTACTCTTATTTAAGGGAGTTTAAGTTTCAACTTCTATTTTAAGGATATGACCTCTTTTACTTCTAATTTGGTCATTCTCCCTTAATTATGTTATTTTAACAAATAATTAATGAAAATATATCAAGAAAATAAACAAATGGTTCGTGTGGACTACGAAGAGGTGGTTTAATTGTTTTTTTATAAATAAAGGCAATGCTATAGTGGATCTAAGATCCACATCATTTTAGGTGACCTTCATTATGAAAATAAACAAATGCTTACTATCATGATAAGCATTTATTTTTTGCAAAAAAAAAAAAGAAAGAAAAAAATTTTCAATTCGCCCCAAAATAAATTGCCTATTTATTATTCACATGATCAAACTTTATTCACTTTCTTTCTTTATTTTCATTAGTTATTTGATAAAATAATATATTAATATTACCACTAGTTTTGTAAGTCTTTTGATCTAGTTTTTAAAATATGTAATTTTTTATTTTTTAATTATAAACTATTTTTATATAAAATGATTTGAAAATAATTTCAATCAAAGATCGTAAATCGAAACAAACAATTTAAATTGTGTGCTATTTTAGCCCCAACATTTGAACCCCATCCTTTAATCCCATTCTTACAAACACTACAAACATTCGGCAATGTTCCGTGTCTGTAATATCTATAAGAATGGGGTTAAATGGTGGGATTAAAATGTTGGGATCAATCAAGCATAACCCTATTAGTGTAGACCTCAGATCTACCTAAGAAAAATAAAACCTTGCAAGCCTGACAAGATCTAAACTTTAATTTTGACAACCACCACGACTTACTTAACAGAAAAACAAGCCCGAGTCGCCCTATTTTTAAAATTAAAAAATTGAACTCGTCCTTCCTTCGCGCCTCAAACCATGCGATTTAGTTCTGGCTCACGGTTGGAGGCCCGTATGCCCACCCTTAACTCCAGGTACTCTTAGTAAAAAAACAAGTTGTATACTGCACATCTAGATGTACCATGCTCTAGGTACTTCTGGCGATTACTCATTTAGGAGTAGCCAGAATGCTCATTTCACATAATCGTTTTGTGTACCCTGCAAATGTTGATTCGCAAGAAATAAAACACTCATTTTCACGCATTCGAAAATGCATGTATACACATTTGAAAGCCACAAAATATTCATTAAAGTTATACAACATACGGAAGAGCAACATAATACTTTTTCAAAAAAAGAGTAACATAATACTCATTTCATGCATGGGTACAAACTACAAAATACTACCGGAAATGCTGCAAGAAGCCGACCATAACCGTGCCGCTGCAAATGTTAGGTACGGTTCCACGCACGGAAGTTGTTGCCCAGTGAGTCATTTGCTGCATATGAGCTGCCATCGCCTAGGGTCAGGTCACTCTCCCTCCCTTCTCTTCATCGCAGGTCCTCATGGGTTTTTGCTGGTCTCTTCATCGCGATTGATCACAACTTCTTTGGTACATGATGTACTCAAAGATAGGTACATCCAGTTGAAACTAATAATTTGCGTTTAATTGGAATATGGTAATACGACAGAAACCATCTCAAATTTGCCACCTTCCCAATCTCTATTGGGATCTACTGAAACCATAAACTTCAACGGACTGTTCTTCTCTTTCTGCAGTAGAGTCTTTAACAGGATTAGCCAAATCAAGTACCAGTTTGGTTTCACATTAACTTCATGTCCCATGCAGTTATCATTGCCGAATGAATGAGGCTTAGCAGTCTCCAGACTTGCACTATTTGAATTAAGAGAAGCTGCATCATCAAGAGTTTTGCAGAGCTTTTGCCTTTGATAGCTTAGGTATACTTCCTCGGCTTTGATGTTTCCAAACAAAAGCTCCGCGGCCTTGTTTGTAACAATAAGCGAAGTATAAATCGAATCATCCCACACATACAGCTGCAAAAAAAAAGAACTTTTAAAACAGATTAATTAGTGGACAACACACACACTCAAATATATATATATATATATATATATATATATATATATATATATATATATATATATATATATATATATATATATATGTGCCTTGTTCTCTCTTTTGGCTACCCGCCTCTCATCTCTCAGAACCATGAAATTGGTTACTGCTCCTACCTCGAGTAATGAGTAGTGCCTGTGGGCATTGTGATGGGAAAACCCATGCTCCGTGTCCCACAAAAGTTTCCCTTCATTCTATTTTCTTTATCTGTTCTAAAATTATTCCTCACTTTTCTCTTTAGGTTTTTGGAAAAGAATGTGGTCCAAAATATCTTATCTAAACGAATTCTAACCACTCACATTTCAACACCGTTTCAAATACTTCTTTAACAGTTTTCTTAATCTCCGTCAAGTCAAAATGGGAAAACTAATTACCATGCACTTGTCCAAATCCTTCGGTTTCTAATGTTTCTCTTAAGTCTTTCAAATTTTTCTAATCCTCCATCCGACTGGGAATTTCCATCTTTAACATTTTGAGTCAATTATGGTAAACCTGGATCACTGATATATTTTTATGAAAAATATTCATAATTTGTAAATAGTATAAAAGTATCTGTCAAAGTTTTCCATATGAAAAATCTAAGCAAGACATAGGGAGTACAAAAAAGAGCAAGAGAAGACAAAGGGGAGGCATGTGATGCTATTGATCTAAAAGCTAGTACAATAATGTGATTCTATTCTAGACTTCAACCAACCATGCATTTTTATGACTAACATCTTTATTTGCCAACGGAATCATGGCGGTAGGGTTGAACACACAAAAAAAGCTGAATCCCCAACATGAACTGATATATCATACCATTTAGAATCAGCATGGTTGGCAATCCTTGGGCAACCAATTGAGTTAGGCCATTTTTCTATGGGTATGATATGTGCTCACCACGAGTTGAGTTTGGCTCAACAGTTCGTGCAAAAAACTGCTTAGAAAGACTGCATCATGAACAAAAACAATCTCATATTTCCCATGTAAATGAACAATACCACTGTGGAAGAGGGCTTCAATTTATTTACCCGTGAATGGATGAGACAATGGGATGAAATGAGTATATTTAGAGACCGTCCACGATCACCAGGATGTTCTCATACGACTTGGACTCCAGTAAGCTCTCAATGAAATCAAGAGAAATATCTTCTCACACTTTGTTAGGAATAGGTAAAGATTGAAGAACACATACAGGAGGAAGAGTTTGGTATGTATTCTGCTTACATTGTAAACAATTTAGAACCTGGTGATGTATTTCTTGCCTTAATCCAGACAAATAAAATGAGTGAATAAAATCTTATGAGAAGAGACAAATGTCTTGCTGGAGTGTGTTTAAAAAACCACTATGACCTGCAACTGGGGTATTATGAGCTTCTTAAAGCAGCTTTTGCTCCAAAAGTTTATAATCTAGGATAACCAAACGATAATGAAATAAAGTAAATGATCCAGCCATAGAGAATCTGGGCGAGACTCAGAGGGTCAGATGCCAAAGTAAAAATCTCATTGATATAAAAATCAACTGCAAGAGCACCTGTAGGTCAGATAAATCAAGGCTAAATGGTATTATAGCCAAAGCGAACAGTCAGCAGGCAGGGGCGGACAAGACATGGCATTAGCTCCTTGATTTTCTTTCCCACCACGATAAGAAATAGTGATATTAAAGGGAAGATGTCAGATAGTTGTAACTGTTTCTTGTAGGTGAGAACCTATGTTCCATAAAAAAATTAGGACATCTGCCCGAACAAAAAAAATGTCTCCCCGACAAATAATGTTTCCGTAAAGCCAATACTAAAGCAAGCAATTCGTGGTCATAAGCAGATTTAAGCCTATTAGAGAAAAGAAATCCCCTACTATAATAGACTAGTTGTTCGTGTGAAAGGTCGAGGAAACTCTGGTAAGTGCATAACTGGCACAGTAATGAGGAATTGTTTCTGTCGGATGAATGCTTCTTCTTCAGGTCACATGAAAGCATCCTTCTTGTAACTAATTCCATAGTTTCTGAGAAACCAGCCAAAATAACCAGTTAGTCTTAAAATACTTTCACCTCTCTCACATTAGAGGTAGCCCAGTTAGTCACAGAGTCCTAGTACGACATGCAACTTACAACCTACAAGTACACCCCGAAGAGGTTTAATTAGTTTGCTCGTAGATCAGAACCCTACATTCCATAAGAAATCTTAGGTAATTTTCCCTAGTAAAATAATATCTCCGCAACAAATAATGTTTCAATTTCTGTAAAGCCAATACCAAAACAAGAAATTCACGGTCATAAGTAGATTTAAGCTTATTAGAGAAATGAAATTCCACACTATAATAGACTAGTTATTCCTATGAAGGGCCAAGGCAAATCTGGTAAATGCATAATTGGCACAGAAATGAGGGCTTGTGTCTTTTTGAAGGATGCTTCTTCCTTAGACCACATGAAAGCATCCTTCTTGTATCTCTCTTAGTGAGATCAGCCGAAAACAGAGCACTAACTCAACAGTGTCTCACAAACCAGTTAGTCTTAAAATCATTGTACCTCTCTAACATTAGACGTAAGTCAGTTAGTCATAGAGTCCTAGTACGACATGCACAACTTACAAGTATACAGACAAGGGGTTTAGGCTTCGTTCCGTTCGTCTAATATGATTGGTTCTGATATGATTTTTTTAAAGTCTAGTCTGATCAGAATGGATCAGATCTGTTCTAATAAGAATATGTAATAAGCAAAAAAAAATAAGTTGAACGAAATGTAGCCTTAATTACTTTTAGAACCCTACATTGCACAAGATATTTTAGGTCATCTGTCCATGCAGAAAAATGTCTCCCCAAAATAATGTCTCTGTTTCTGTAAAAAGTGTATGAAAAAACAAGCAATTCACGGTCATAAGCAGATTTAAGGATATTAGAGAGAAGACATCCCCTACTACAATAGACTAGTTATCCCATGAAAGACCGAAAAACATCTAGTAAATGCATCACTAGCACAGGAATGTGGGATCAATCGGATGCCAAGCACTGATTCCACAATTTCTAACAAACCAACAATAATAACCAGTTACAACATGTTCTTTTGGATTAGAAAAACAGAGTCGAATGATGGAAGAAACCGGAAAAAACTGGAGCAGTTGATCCCATTTTAAGAAATGGAAGGAAGACCCATTAGACTCCAAACCACCACCCCTGGGATTGTCTCTAGCCACATGAGGCACCAGCCTGAGGGGGAAGAGTTTTTGAGAGGTTACCAGCCAGAAGAGTCTTGGTACACAGCATAGTTGTTACGGCGACTAGGCGAGGCTGGGCGCTAGAGCACCTTCCAGTCGCCTAGGCGATTAGGCGCCCACCTAGGCGTCCGCTGGGCGAGTAGGCTATGGCGACCATAATAATTTTATAGGTACTAATGTTAAAGCATATAGTATGAAATAATTAATTAAAATGAACACTAATATATATATATATATATATATATATATATATATATATATATATATATATATAAAAGCCTACTCCAATAAAGTGTGCTTTTAAAAGGCCTATTAAATTTTGGGCCTTATACTCCTGTGTAAAGGTCCAATAGTCTATTAATGAATCTAGCCCAGTTATTTGACCTAGTCCACTAGTCTAAATGATAGAGAGATAGGAAGAGGCAGTGGAGGTCGCAGATCTGGAAGCCGCACCACGACAAATAATCGGCGAGAAAGATAAGTCTTCTCTCCCTCTCCTCCTCCGTCTTCTCTCTATCTCCTCCTCCGTCTTCTCTCCCTCTCCTCCTCCATTCCATTGCGCTTCTAAAATGGAGACGCGTCTGGGAGATGGAGACACAGTCACTGTACAGCACAGTCGCCCAGGGAAAAAAAAGCTAGGCGACCAATTAGGCGTCCACAAACCCTCGCCCAGACGCCTAGGCGACGCCTTGATAACTGTGGTACACAGCAGGGTATGCCTCAAAATGTATCTACAATAACAACATTACCCCAGTGCCTCAAAGGCTCTTGCCCATTGCGGGGTAAGGGAGTGTCGGATGTACGTAACCTGACCCCTATGTTTAAAACATAGAGCGGTTTTTTCCGGATGACCCATGATGAGCGTCAAAAGTTGCATTGAGTAACTGCTACTTCACTATTCAAAACTATTCAAAGAAGCAGAGACAATTAAAGAGCCATTCTGCTCTATTCCATCATACCCCAAAGCCAAAAAATAGTGAATCTTTGGCTCCATCAAAGAATATGGAAATGCCTCAAAATGTATCTATTGATAATACATTTATATCATAAGTCAATGTATGTTTTCAACACATTGTGGTCAAAGTTTAAAAACATTGACCATGAAAAGACAATTATGAAGAAAGATACCGAACGGAGGGACTGAGGGAGTACTATATTGTTTTAAAAAAATTTATGTATTTTTACTATTACTCTTTTTTTACCCCGTCAAAGAGCTAAGGTCAATCCAAAAACCCAAAAATGCCTAATACTTTTTTTACCAAAGTAACCAAACACCCTGAAAGCTCTGGGATTTGGTAGTGGTAATTCTATTCATTCTTGTACACTTCTATGAATTAAAATCATAATTTGTTTCTTGTGTGAAATTGGCCATGAAATGGTCAAGGGTCCTAGCAAACAAATGTTAGAAACTATGGGTATAACTTACCAAGAAAGGTCTATATATGTGGCGTGACACATGAAGGTGATTTGAGCTTTTCTGACAATAGAACTGAGAGGCCACAGTCAAGGTTGATCTGTTACATACAAATCAAGAATGCTTCATAATATTAATGAAAATGGATATTTAACAAGAGAATGACTACCACTTTCATACCCATGTTCTTGATTCAAAGGAATACCACACAAATGACAGCCAAGAGCAACAAAATCATCAACCAAGTTATTATCTGCATGTGTGTAAAGCCTCCTACTAATGAACATGGTTTCAGACTCAGGTTCATGCTGGTTCCTACAGGATATTGGCAGAAATATTTCACCAACAGAAGCGTAAAAGCTTGCCTTGCAGGAACAAGAAAGCCTACATAATTCTTCAAGGGAGAAGCAATCCTGATATTTTGTCTCTTTATGTAGCTTCCAGTTTATTTGCAACGGTATCCACTGCAGAGTGTTATATGGAGTAAATGAAATCAATCTGTTTAAGCGATTGAAGAACATACAAATAATATATTTTTCATATTACAAGAGAGGGACTTGAATCTTGAGAAGAATTTAAATGCAATGAATCAAGCACGTCTCTTTAAATTAAACAATGAACATGAAATGACAGAGATCAAATATAGAATATAATATGCATTTACAGAATTTATTATCTGCCCAGAATCATATCCAATGTAGGAGTGCTATTTTCCCGATGATTGTTTTGAGCATGGGAAGATGGTTTCAACTATGTAGACTTCACACAGCCCCCTCTGAGAGTGTGTATTTCACTCTATGATTTATGTAGCAATGCATGTGATCATAAGCAAGAAAGAATATTTTTACTCCCTTTGTGACTAAAAGCATACTTGACAGTAGCTTCTTCCACCATTTCCATGCACATCTGCACTTCTCTGTAACCATTTGATAACTTTATGAAGCTTACTCTTTGCTGATGTACTAAGTTGGCATCCCCCTACTGCATCAGTAATATCTACAAAGAAAGGATATATGAGCTTCCATGACTGGAGCAAGTTTTACGCTAGCTTTTCTAGTGATTGTCAATACGGTGATAATAAGAAAAAGATATACTTTAGGACATGGGTACCAAATATAAACACATAACTGAAGGATGGGCATAAACCTGTGACAAGGAATCACTCCTGTATTGATCGTTAGATCATGTTAAGAGTTTTCCGTGAGTAGAAGCAGAAAATTAAAAAATGAAAGTGATCAGGAAATAGATGAATTGACTAAAACCCCGTTCCGTTCAACTTATTTTTTCTGCTTTTTTCTTAATCTTATTAAAATCAGATCAGATCAGATCTAATCAGATCAGATCAGAACCAATCAGATCAGATCAGATCAGAACCAATCAGATCAGATCAGATCAGAACCAATCAGATCAGATCGGATCTAATCAGATCAGATCCAATCAGATCAGATCTAATCAGATCAGATCCAATCAGATCAGACCAGATCAGATCCAAATAAGAATTATTATTATTATTATTGTTATTATTATTATTATTATTTTTAGTACTACTACTATTATTATCATTATCAATATCTTTATTACTCCTTACTTTTTAAATTCCATACTTTTTAGTTGTTTCACTTGATACGGTTCTTTTAAAAAATAAATTTAATTCTATTTAAAAAATATAAGAAGAAAGAACATGAAACTTTTTGTGTGATTATAATTTATGTAGACTAAAATAAATGATATGAAGCACAATTGTTTTCTTAAAAATGAAAAATAATAAACTTTAGAAACAAGCTAAATAGAAACCCGAGAAAGTAATCTTTAATTATTAATGAAAAATGTATTATTTCTTTGCTTAACATTGATAATATAAGGATGTGATCTTTTAATAAAAATNCAATATTATTCATTAAAAAAATCATAAAATAAAAAATATTATTACATTATAATATGAATGATTATTCTAATATATGAGTTTATTAATTTTGTTTCATTAAAAAATAATCATAAAAAAATATTGATTATATTATAATATGAATTATCATTACAATTTTCAATCAAATCAGAACCAATCAGATCAGATCAGATCCAATCAGATCAGATCTAATCAGATCAGATCAGATTCAATCAGATCAGATCAGAACTTATTAAAATCAGATCAGAAAAAATAAGTTGAACGGAACGGAGCCTAACTGAGATGAGAATAGTTGAATTGATTATAATTAAATCATTTCTCACATCCACATAATTACTCAAATGGTGGGGTACAGACAGAAACCAACAAAATTGGGAATGCTGGAAAAAATAGGTAAAAAGTAATAATGATGTCCCACACTGCTGGCATGTGATGCTAAGCTAGAGAACCTCCATTTATTTGAACTGCACTGTTTATTCCAGGACATGGCATTCCCTTCTCCGTAACGGGATCCTTGCCTACACGGATCAACTTTGCAAACTTCAGTTAAATATCTTCTATATCTTCCCAGGTCGCCTCCTTTAGTGACTAGTTGTTCCCTTAGTGAACACAACACCTAGCCAGTATGGCATGCATCCGTTTCAACAGTAAATGGAACAGAGAAGTCGGGTAGTGCCATGACTGGAGCTGTATTCATGGCTTGTTTCAGTCTTTCAGAGCATTAAATGCAACACATTTTGTACATCTAAAGGAGTCTTTTCTCAGTAGATCCGTCAATGATTTAATGGTTAGTCCATACCTAATTTTTAATTGAAAATATCCAAACCTTAGATAAGGTTTTGAGTATGCATGTTTTAGAGTAAGTGAATTGTAATACCTGTAATTCAGTCACATATTCCATCCCCCATCTTTTTTACTAGCAACGCATGAGATGCAAAAGAACTAGTACTAGGCCTTATAAATCCCAAATTCAGTAGTTTTCTCACAATTCTCACAATCTTTTGAGAATGTGGATATATGTATTGGGCTTGCTTCCTGGGCTCAGAATGTTTTTTTTTAAATTCTAGTTGGTGCTCAATCTCCTGGGAAACTTCAAAAGTTTTTGGAAGAATCAAGATGCCTGAATATTTCATGACCATGGATTGAAGGGAGTCTTCTATTACACCCACAATGTCTTCCACCACACTTTATGAGAAAATATGACCTATTGTCTCGGCCCTCTTCATAAAGAACTTTTGCATAGATTGTAGTGTCATAATCTTCAATCCCACTATTTCATCATCGGCTTTGGTAACCATTTTTCCCATGGAAGTAGAGTGTTATTTTCATATTAGTGTAATCAAACAAAATGGGTGTATAACCTTATAGCCGATCACTTCTCTTTACAATTTAACAGCCTTGCTATGCAATAACTCTAAAAGGAAACTGAAATGTGCTTCGTTGAGCCTCCCAAGTAAAATCTGGGCATATTGTTATACTAATCAATGTCCATCCATGGGCTTGAGCCGGGGGTCTCTTGGAAAAAAACCTCTCTTCTTTCGAGTAGGGGTAAGGTATGCATACACACAACCCTCCAAGACCCTACTTTTTGTGGGATTTTACTGGGTTTGTTGTTGTTGTTGTCCCTACATGAGCTAGACTCACAACCATTGGCCTGGTCTCCTTAACAACACACCCCAATCTTCTGCAAGCATGTCCATTCATAAAGCAATGACTACTTCCAGTGTCCCTTTGGCCCTTAGTGTGTTAAGGCTATTTTCTCCTGGTAGAGCATTTAAGGATATGTTAAAATTCTCTTCCTCATTTTCTACTTCCCCAACTTGTATGATATCCTCTTTAGAAGGGCTTTTCTCTTCTTCCTCAACCATCATGAGGTAAATCGGTCTGATAAAATATATTGTCAGAGTAAAATATTGTCAGAGTTGCAGCAAAGATTATTCTCCCTGGAGGTTCTCATTTCTTCTACTGTGAGAAGTTTCCTGTCTGCAATACGATTTTGGAAGTGGACAGGAGCAAATGTTTCTCTTTACTGGTAAAACTGTAGGTCCTACGCCCTTAATACCTCTGTTGGACCTTTTTTGATGGGTTCAATCATCGCCTCATGCCCTATGCCACTGCATAGGCCTCTTGAAGTGGGCAAGATTTAGTAATTAGAACAAAACCTCTAATGTCTTCTCTTTGCTAAGTCATCAAGCACTTTAGCACATGTGACTCTACAAACTTATGAAAAATTGTTACATGCTTTAGTTCTTCCAAACTTATAATGTACTCAGCAACAGTGGTAATGTGTTTACAATCATGGATCTAAGCCTCGATCAGTTCTGAATCCACCTCATGAGATCAGAGCAATACCTTCTCAATTGATTTCTCCCAGGATACCAACCTTCCTCCTCAACAAGTATGATGTACTGATTTATGGCCTCCCCCATCCTTCTGCACCACCGCTAACAAAGAATTATCTTCCTCCGTAATTGCAAACATGATCTGGAAATACCAGTTGGTGCGAATAATCCAAGCTCTAGGATTGGTTCCATTAAACCAAGAAAATTCTTCCTTGAAGAAGGGGGAGAAGGCAAATCTACCATTGTAAATAGCTTCATGAGGTGACTCTGGAGGTGTACAGATGGAGCAGCTCGCATAAACAGTAATTGATCATCCTAGACCGAGTAACAATTTGTTTTTGTTCAGCAGCTGTAGCTGATCAAAGACAGCCTTAAACTATCCAATGTTCGAACTGGTGTATTGCGGTTTCGAGGCATTTTTTCATGGCGTATTGCGTAAGCCTCAAGGCGTTTTGAGGCATAAGCCTTAATTTTTTAAATTGAAAAATGTCCATAAAACATTTCAAAAACTGAAGATAGAACATAATGTATAACATAAATAATCTAGAAACATTAAAAAAGTAGATTGCCAAAGTAATACATCTCAAACACAACAAAGTCTAACATGGAATAAGACAAAATATTGGCCAAAGTGATGAACTTAAATTGAAGAATTGAACAAAAGTTCATCAGTGTCCAACGGCTTGAAACAAAAAAACACCAATTAAAACCTCTAGCCGTAAGCAAGAAAAATTGAATGCTCCTTCATAAAACCATAAGCAAGAAATTTTTTTTAACAAATTTAGCAAGAAAATAATTTTAACAAATTTAGCAAGAAAATAATTCAATACTCCCTTATAAATCATCCAGTTGTAAGCCATCACCCATTTGTATACCTTTTACCGGAAAAAAAAGGAATCGTACCTACTGCTGAATTGCGATGGAGACGGAAAACAGAGAAGCAGAGAGGGCCAACGCTATGAAGAAGATGAATCGCAGGTTGGTAGTAGCAGCAATTAGTGTCGCAATTAAGGTCATCGACAAGAAAATTTTAAAATATATACACTTAATTTGGGTAATTGACAACTTTAACCTTGATTTTCTACTTTTTAGATGGTAAATGGCGTACGCCTCATTGCGCGCACCAGTGTGTACGCCCCGTGGCGTAAGCCTTTAAGCCAATTGCTTAAAATGGATAATTGCGTGAATCGGGATACACACCAGGGCGGTAATTTCCGGAAAAAGTTCTATGGCACGCCTTGAGGCGGGTTTAGGTTTTGTCATTTCAAACATTGAAACTAGCCTAAACCAAATCCTGATTCTTCATGGCGTGTTGTATGCATTTCAGGCCACCTTCATAAACTATTCCATCAAAGCAATTCCCTCTGGGCTTTCTCCTTGATCCAAGTTTCTTCTAACCATTTTTGTGCTTCTGCCGGATCCTTGGATCTTGTGTTCATAAACGATGCGTAAGCAATAGTTCCCCGATCAGGAGCGACGGCGCTCTGATTTGAAATGTAATGATCATACTTTTCCATGAATAGAAGAAAGTAAAAAGGATAGTGATGAGGAAATAGAAGAATGGAGATGAAAATAGCTATATTGATTGTTATTAATTCCTTTCTCACATCCACAAATTTACTCAAGTGCCGGAGTACGCAGAAATACAAAATTGGAATTGCTGAAAAAAATTGTAAAAAGTAATAATGATGTCCCACACTATTCATGCGTGATGTTCAGCTCCATAACCTTAATCTATTTGAATGGCACTATTTATTCCAGGACATGACATAATACGTGAAAGCACCTCGGTAAGACAAAGGTATATGTCAACATCTTCCTTTCCAGACTCTGCATGGCAGCATAATATTTTTTTGAGTGGCATGACAACATAATATAAAATCCTTTTGACACAACATTACACCTTTTATATATGGAGATACGGTAATCATGTAGTAAATTGGATTACTAGTATGCATGTAATTAGCTGGTCATTTGGGAGGTAAATATAGGGGGATATATAATGATTTTTGCTCTATTATAGTATTACTCTCTCAATCCTAATTTAAGAATCATGTTTGCTATTGGAATGGCAATTTAAGAATCATTTTAGTAGGAGTATGAAATAGTTTTTCGTATGTGACAAAGTTTGACAAGGCTTCTATGAAGTTCCTAAAGAAATAGGTTTGTTTCATTGGCTATTAATAGTTTGATTTATGGAAAATAAATTGAACTTGAGCACCTGATGAGCAAAACAATGTTGGAATGGGTTCATGTTCAGATATGTAGAGGAATGATATTTGAAGCTCGAGGCTCAAACATAGGTATTTGGAAAAAAATGGAATGGGGCCAAATGAAACTAGTATTTTGCTGAAATGGAAGTGGTTGTGGCAGCAGAAGTGGCGGTGGTGGTGGTGCAATTATCGTGATAGTGGTGCTGATAATGGTGGAGGTTGTTTTGGTGGCGGTATGGATGATGGAAGTGCACAGGGTGTTCTAGACACCATCAAATAACTTCCTCATATGAGATGGTGTTCTAGACACCTCAAATGAGAGTGTTTAGAACTCCCTAGATTTCTAAACAAAACTCTTATTTTGGCTCACCAAACACAAAAGCAAGGAATTTTAACCCCAAACTTCAAGTAATATTTCATTCCACCTTGTCTCACCAAAAAGGACCTGAATCACATCCAAACAAGATGTGGTCTAGATAGACACACAGCCAAACAATTTGTGAGGTAAGAATGTGTGGAGGGGGGAGCACGAGAAAATTTGCAATTAGAATGACATATTGAGAGTTTTAGTTATCTTATGTACATTTCATTCCAGCTGTGATGCAAAGAGAAAGAACACCAACCATGTAGGGAAACCGGTCTACTAAAAAAACTGATTTTTAATAGACGAAATTCCCTGTAAGTCAAAACTTAATCCCACTTGGCATGATTTTACATTCTGATGTGTAGCTAAATACTTAGGATCACAAAAGGAATTATAGAAAATAATGCAGGAATTAGCATGGAGAAGTTTAATAAAATCTGATAATATTGGCATGTCACTGGTATGATTCTAAATGTATGATTAGTAGCATGAGAGAGAAAAAGAGAGAACCTTCAGAAGGTAGTGATTGGTATGAGTCGACTAGGCATAAGATGGACGAACAATGAATAGTTTTGGCCTCCACACTGTCTCCAAATTTTGTAATGTTAACATCTGAAGTTTACAAACAAAAACAAAAACCATAATATTTAATATCAAGAGGGAAGTGGAATGCACGTTACAGGGGGGAAAAGACATGAACAATCATCATAAATGCCCAAATGGAGATGCTGGAGTGTAGGTAAAATTTTATAAAGTATAAAAGTTATGAACTCAATCTAAAAAAAATGAAATACTGGAGCCAACTCCTTTTTAGTGCTAATGACTCTATTGTTCATACATACTTTCTCAACCTACTGAAGCTCAGAGAGTCAATGCCCCAACTGGGGTTTGAACATGTGACCTCCCAATCAGAAGAGCCACAGTTATGCCACTTGCCCACAAAGTCTTTAGCTTAGAGCCAGCACCTAATCATTAGGATAAAAATATACCTATAGTTGTGATTGGAACTTATAGGGCTGGTTCTTTTCAAAATTATAAAGTCCAGCTACTCAGAGTCCACACTCTTGAGTATACAATTATATACTTCATGTACCAACTGCTTAGAAGACTAGATACCCTCGCGTCTTTCTTGAAGATTTACTTAGAATAATAATTTTGTCATAGACTTTTGTAGCCTTTCCTCCGGAATATTGAATCTACTCAATTCAGTTTTGGAAAGAAAAAATGCAGTCATCTTAACAGGCAATAGAAATAACACCAATTAACTGGTTAGTTGGATTGTGTATTACAACTGGACTCTTAGAAGTGTACTTTGTGCTAGAGGATTTCTTGCGAGATTTCCTGAGATGCAATCACTTGTTAACAGCATAGTTGAATATTGTGATTCTATTTAGATAGTTATAAATACGGCCATTGGTTTCAAGGGTTGCTAAAGACTTTAGAGTGTATTCGAATGGTCATGAATGATTATTCATAATCAAGTTACAACAGGACCCTGAGAGGTGCATTGTGCTAGAGATTTGTTAGCGGATTTCTTGAGATGCAATCGAGTGTAAATATAAACATCTGTTTGATCCTAGAATCGTGTTTGTTAACATATTTGTGAGGTAATTCCTCCACAGCATATAGAGAGATGTTTCTAATTAGAATCATCTAGTTTAACCTATTCGTTTCGGTGAACAAAAAGAGCAGAAACCATAGTTGTAGTATTCCAATATTAGCCAACACCCAATGGATTTCTACAAGATTGGCTTAACAAGTCCCACATGATTATATTTCTTGGTTAAATGCCCTACAACGAAAAAGGAAGAAGGGGAAAATGAAATTTCAGAAATGGAGAGATAAAGATCAAGGCATACGCTTTAGCAAAACGACGCTTCCGGCCACAATTTGGGAGATGATTTGCTTGTGCCATATGGACACCGGGAAATAAGGGCGCGTGTCATCACCCACCAGGACGTCCGTCCTTATCACTTCTCTTTCTCCGTTTTTTGTCAAGATCTTGTACTGCACGGCGCCAATACGTACATATGAGGACAAACTACTACTGTAGTAATTTCAGCATGACTTTTCGAGAGTAGTAGGAAATTGTGGAATAGGGTAGCACCTGAATGGGGGTTGATCGGTGAACGAAGACGACGAGTTGCACGTAGCCGTCGATGTGCGCAGATGCGTTTGAGAGGTCAATTAGAGGGCCGTAGTTCACGATTGCGGCCATCTGCGCATAGGCTTTTTCTGGTACGTACAATTCTACATGCTGGTTTAGGCTAGACTAGGGCTCCGTTTGGAAAATGGCATTTCAGCTCAAAATTGGCTTTTTTGACTATATTTAGCTCCTTTGAATAGTCAAAGAGCTAATTTAAGTGTCTTGATAATGGCTTTTTTGTTTAGCAGATTGGTCTGAACAGCCAAGATTTAAAATGCCAAAGAAGAGGAGCGTTTGTGTTCAGCAGTTCATTTTTTCCGTTAATGCCTTTTTTTCACTATTTTCCTTTAAATAAGTATTTTCCTATAAATATATGTATGTGTATAATATATATATATATATATATATAGATTGACTCCAGTCAGATGACACCTTACGGTGAGATGACATGCTACGGTCAGATTACCCAAATCTCACCACTGGCCACAACAAAGCTCATCAAGAACAACTACAAAGCTCAACAAACTGTTAGATAAAGCTCACCATATTTTTTTCAACACTTTGAATTTTTTTTTGAAAAAATAAAATCAAAGGAAAGGGTGCTGATTAGACTTTGACCGTTGACAATCACCGGCCACCGCCGGCCGCCGCCGGTCTCCGCCGCGCCGCTGCTGCTGACTGGTGGTTGACCGGTGTTGCTATTTTATTTTTAATAATTTTTTAGTTTTCAAAATTAAAAAAAAGGTGAGTTTTGGTGTTCAAAGTGGTGAGCTTTGCTTTATTTCCAAATGAACTTTACATTGGTCATTGGTGAGCTTTGCAGTGTGATGTGGTGAGTTTTGCGTCATCTCACCGAACCATGTCATCTCACCGTAAGGTGTCATTTCACTGGAGTTAATCCCATATATATATATATATATATATATATATATATATATATATATATATTTCCAAACTCCGCCAATTGGGTAAACAAAAAATGAGGAAAGTCTTGAAGGGGAATATTCAAAGACTCTCATCTCAGTTTATCTAGCGAAAATCTCACACGTGTACTCAATAACAATTATTTTTTAAAATAAAAATAAAACAAAGGAGTGGAAATCTATATATAAATAATCTCACATCATTACCCCATTGGCAGAGTTTGGATATATATATACTCCCTCCGTCCCACTGTCTTTGTCCACTTACCTTTTGGCACACCATCCAATGTACTTTTTTTAATCCATTTTATCTTGTAATTTGTATATTAAAAAATTATAAAAATTATATATTAATAATCTATATGTTAAGACGAATCAAACAAGATCACACATTACTATTTTTGGGCTTACACATTGAGAGAATTTAATGAGTCAAAGTGCTTAGATGAACAGTTTTAAAAGTCAAAACTAGACAAAGACAATGGAACGGAGGTAGTGTGTGTGTGTGTGTATATATATTTTGTGTGTGCGTGTATATATATATACACACACACACACGGTAAGTCTAAAATGACACCAGTGCTACTTGTGTCATTTGCTTACACCAGTTCGTTTGGAGTACCTACGGTGCTCCGTTTGTAAAAATGACGGTTCCTACCCCCCTAACCCTCCCTCTAAACCCCCCACCCCAGCCCTCCCTCCCGCCCCCTCCCTACCCTGGCAGGACACTGGGGTGGGGAGGGGGCGGGAGGGGGGGCTGGGGTGGGGGGGGCAAGGGTGGGGCTGGGGTGGGGGGTTTAGGAGGAGGTTAGGGGTGTAGGAACTGTCGTTTTGTCAAACGGAGCACCATAGGTACCCCAAACGAAGTGGTGTAAGCAACTGGTGTATAAGTAACTCGTGTCATTTTAGACGCTCCCATATATGTGTGTGTGTGTGTGTGTGTGTGTGTGTATAATTAATTAATTACTAACTAATATTATTTTGTCTAATATATTTATGAACAACTTTATTTCACCCAGAAATAATATTTCTAAGTTTTATAAAGTTCATTTTTGAGTTTTCAATATTTATTTTAGATTTATTGGAATTAAATCTAAACAAATACAATTAACTCAAAAATTTGAAATAAACAATTTTGAAAATTACAATATAATTTTACTAACCATAAAATGATTTTTTTCATGTCCAATAAAATTATATTTACAATTTCAAAATATATATTAATATATATTTTCGAAATTTCCTATTATATGTATAAAATATATATTTTCGGCACAAATAAAGAATGAATATTTATTTCAATGATTTATTTAAGTCCAATATTTATTTCAAGACTATAATAAATTATTGTACCAATTTTTGAATTTTATTAATTACCAAGTGAAAATTTTGACATTTTAAAATAAAAAGTCAAACTTAAAACTATAGTTTTGTACGTTGACTCTGATACCACTGAAAGGTAACCATGCAAGGATAGACAGCGGAATATAAAAATTTTAACATCCTTACATGATTATCTTGCCCAGAATCACGTACTAAAACTTATAATAAGTAAGAAATTTATACCTTTCTCTAGAAGCGGTAAAAAGGAAGAAATCGTGGGAAGAGCGTTGAAAGTGCAAACGTAACCGTTCAAGCATCCGGTCTCTAACTTTGACACACGAACAACGCTGGAGTCTACCAGAATCATTATTTTAGTGAAGATTATAGTAGTATAAAATATAAAGATTAAAATTGGGATAATAATAATCTTGTATATTTCTATAGAAAATGATTCTAATAATATTTAAAAAATATTATAGATATTTTCTATACACAAAATGATATTGATGGAACACAAAATATATTTTTTCTTTCTCTGGAATATTGATGGCCGAACAAAGGAAGAAAAACTACACCTTGATAATGTGGCTACTGATATGGAGTATATAAATAAAACAAAGCAGTGGAAATTAATTTTTGTCATTAGCTAAATGACAAATCAATTAGCCCACTCAAAAATCAATCAAGGAAATTTTGATTCTTCAAAATCCCATTTGGCCGAAAATATGATTCTTATTGTGAGAAGGATTTTTAAAATTTTTCTCCACTTAAATATTCAAAGTGTATATTGTTTGACATCAAAAATTAATATAAAATTAATTTTAAGTCAAACAAAAATACCAATATCATTTTTTTCAACATGTATACAAATATACTTTAAATATTTTTGTTAGCCTTGGTTTGCTAAGTCTCATGTTATGATGTTAACAAACAATATAAGAGTTTGACGTTTGTTTAAGTGTTCCAGGTAAAACAAGAATCCATTAAGATTCGGTACTTAAGAATGAAGTCAAAACACTAAACTAACGTAGAATATAGGTAGAAACCAATGTAAGGATATGACTTTATATACCTATATTCACAAGCTCAAAAGCACTCACAAAATATGTTTAAAACCATCCCATAAACATTTTCAAAATATCCAAAAGGTTTTAAACTCAAACGCGAAGGATTACGGGAATTTTGGAAAAAGCAGGACAGTGGCACGGTACCCCTAGCGGTACCCCAAACGGTAGGGTATACCACCTACACGGTACCCCCATACCGTGTAACGATACCCAGGTACCGTACAGTTGGCACAGACGGTAGGCCACCCCGTCCTAACCCGGTACCGCCAGAGGCGAAAACTTATTTTAGCCTATACGGTACCCCCACACGGTAGGTCGTACCGTGTCACGGTACCTAGGTACCGTATGACATGGACCCCCCTACTGTGAAGGGTACCAGATCCGTTACAGCACTGTAGCAAAATTGCCAATTTGAAATAAATCAACCCTAATCACCTCCCAACGGCTAATTAACATCTTCCACTATAAATACAAGCCTAATCCTTCATATTTCTTCAAAAAAAAAAAGCTCTAAACATCCTCTCTTTTTATTCTAAGTGTGTTCATCCTTTTATTAATTATTTTCAATATTTTGGCTATTTTAAGAGCCTTAAATTCCTGATTTTTATACACACACTTTGAGCTTGTGTTTCTAGTTATATA